CAAATATGTGTTGATGCACCCCCACTTATATGACATGCCTTTCCTTCGAGCAATCCAAAGTAAAAGTTGATTGGCATGACATACATCCTTGTTAAAGACATGTTTAGTGCATCTAGTCATCTCTCTATTTTATTAGGCTCATTCATGAAAATCAAATGAATTTGATGTTTATATGGTATCACTATTGCTTCTATACTTGACTTGATCTAGTGATAGCATATGACATGTTTGTGGGTTTGTAAACCTAGTGTTTAATTTAGAAAATGAGCTCTAAGTGTTTAACTCAACATGGTACAAGATAACCCTTATTAGGAGGTGTAAAGAAGCTTGTCCTTGGATCAAACCGAGTTAAATATCTTTGGCAAATATTCTAGTTTGAACCAAATTTGGGAATATAATCCTCACCCCATTGATTGACATTGATAATCTCAACCTATCCACCTTTTAAACCTTTATGGTCATTGATGACAAAGGGGGAGAGAAACATAGATATAAGTGATAGTGGGAGAAATAACAAAGAAATTAGTACATGGGAGAGAAACAAAAGATATTAGTGATATTAGTGTACTAAGATGGTGAAAAGACAACGAAGGGGGAGAACTTGATATAGGGGGAGAGATATGATAAAGGAAAGGAATCAATTAATATTTTGAGCACACAAGTAGGGGGAGCAAGCTCATGAACTTGTATGGTGCATTTGCTCAGGAACTTGTATGGTGCATTTGAATGTGCATTTCATATGTTTGCTTGCATGGCACAAGTTTTAAAATTTAAATATCCATGCTTGTGTGGTGTATACTAGTTGTAGGCTTGAATGATGGAATGAAAAACTAGCATGCATAGGGTATCTAATGATTTCATTTCCAAGTGTTGTTTCCAAGTGTTATCAAGCTAAACATGATACTAATGATGGTATATTGGTGCACTCCGATTGGTATCACGCTTCAAATGTCCATCTTTTATACCTTAGCATCATTTGGTAGACATTGTCTCCTATATTTTCTATCTAAGCATATGTGCAAGTTTCAATCCAAACTCTTAGCACATATGTAGGGGGAGCAATTGCTACCATATAGGATTCATGAAACTTGTCCATATCCTTTTACACATGGTAAATATGCTTGGACAAGCAACATGGATTCAATGGAATTTTAATTCATATCTTTGTATAAGGGTTGTCATCAATTACTAAAAAGGGGGAGATTGAAAGCTCTAGTTTGGTTTTGGTGAATTGATGAAACCCTAAGTGCTAACCTAGTTTATCAAGTGATCATGAGATAGATAGCACACTCCGAGTGGTGAAGCAAATGAAGATCATAGCATGATGATGATGATGGCATGGTGATGATCAAGTGCTTCGACTTGGAAAGAAGACAGAGAAAAACAAAAAGCTCAAGGCAAAGATATAAATTGTATGAGCTATTTTGTTTTGGTGATCAAGACACTTAGAGAGTGTGATCACATTTAGGATTGATAGCCGTAATATTAAGAGGGGTGAAACTCGTATCGAAATGCGGTTATCAAAGTGCCACTAGATGCTCTAACTCATTGCATATGCATTTAGGATCTAGTGAAATGCTAACACCCTTGAAAATGTTTGAGAAAATATGCTAACACATGTGCACAAGGTGATACACTTGGTGGTTGGCACATTTGAACAAGGGTGAAGAAGTTAGAGGTGAAATGGAGTTGGTCGCAATGATACTGGCGTCGGTCTTCTGACCGGACGCTGGGTCACTCAGCGACCGGACACCGAAAGGTTGCGTCCGGTCGACCTGTCAGACGGCATAGTGATTAGGGTTAAGCACCGGACGCTGGGCTGTGTCCGATCAAGCGTGACCGGACGTGTCCGGTCGGCAAAAATAGGATTTGGACCCTTACTGGAAATGACTGGACACTGAGGGTCCAGCGTCCGGTCAGCTCTGTTGGAGCGTCCGGTCAGCTTGTCGACTGTTGAGATCAAACGTTCACTGTTGAACGCAGGAGACACATGGCCGCCATCGGGCGACTGGACGCTGAGGAGCAGCGTCCGGTCAGTAGGACCGGAGCGTCCGGTCACCCCGATCAGTGCCCAGTGAAGGGGTACAACGGCTCTATTTTATGGGGGCTTCTATTTAAGCCCCATGGCCAGCTCAAGCTCCCTCTCTTGGCCATTTTCATTGACATAGCAACCTTGTGAGCTTAGCCAAAGCCCTCACACTCATTTTCATCATAGATTAAACATCTTTGTGAGATTGGGAGTGATCCAAGTGCATTGCTTGAGTGATTGCATCTAGAGGCACTTGGTGTTCGTGTTTCGCTGCGGGATTCACTTGTTACTCTTGGTGGTTGCCGCCACCTAGACGGCTTGGAGCAGCGAGGATCGTTGAGCGGAGGATGGTGATTGTCTCCGGCTTCGATCGTGGTGATTGTGAGGGGTTCTTGACCTTTCCCCGGCAGAGCGCCAAAAGGTACTCTAGTGGATTGCTCGTGGCTTGTGTGATCCTCATCTTGTGTTGGTTGTGCGGCACCCTATTGAGGGTTTGGCGTGTGAGGCCAATTGCGCGTGAACCTCCAAGTGAGTGAATCACCACAACGAGGACTAGCTTGCCGGCAAGCAAGTGAACCTCGATAAAAAATCATTGTGTTCATCATTGATTCCGAGGTGATTGGTCTTCATTGTTATTCATCCTTGTGATTGATTGGTTCCTTCATCTACACGGCGGTATAACTTTCTTGATCACTCTCTTTACATTACCGCAAACTAGTTGTCAAGCTCTTTAGTGTAGTTAGTTGTGAGAGCTTGCTTGCTTGGTTGGTGTGGCTCTTTAGTTAGCTTTTGAGAGCACACTAACATAGGGTAGTGTTATAGCTATTGTGTGAATAGATACTATCTAAAGTAGAATTGTGGTAGGTGGCTTGCTTTTTGAGTAGGCTAGCGCAACACTTGCTTCGCCTCTTAATTGTTTAACCTTTTTGTTGAGTGTTGTTGTAGAATTTTTTATTAGGCTATTCACCCCCCTCTAGCCATTAGGACCTTTCAGCAGTGCAGTCCCACGAACGGTCACCGGAAAGAAGACACCTTGCTGTTCCGCGAGCGATCACCAGGAAGAAGACGTCTTGGACGAGCAGTTGTGGAATCGCTCCCCAAAAACCTAATCGCTGCACACCTCGTGCAAGGTTCGCAGGCGGACGAGGGTTCCGGAGGCATCTGCTCTCCCGTGGCTTTGTGCGCGCAGAGGTACGGGATGGAGATGCGAAAGTAGCAGCGGGCAGCAGCAGAAAGGGAGAGTGAGTGGTTTTCCGGCGCGCGTTTATCAGAGTACGAGCACCTTTTTTATAGAAGCAAGCTAAAGGAGATTCAACGAACTTAGACACTGTCACATATGATTGATAGCCATTAACCAGCCATCAGTTACCAGTAACCTCCAGCCGTTACTAGTCATTGGTGTCAGCCATTAACCAGCCATCAGTAACCTACAGCCGTTACTAGTCATTGGTGTCAGCCATTAACCAGCCATCAGACCAAGCCCAGCCTCACCTCAGCGAGGCGAGCGCGCACGCATGTGGCACCATCTCTCTCTTTCTCAACTTCTCAATTAGTGCGCAGATAGTCCACCAATTTAAAATGGTTAAGATCCTCTTAACTACCCATTTGGGATTAATCACTTTAACCACCTAGCATTAATGGTGGGCCTTGAGATTAAATGAAATAAATGGGCCTAGCCCAAATATTGCAACACGCCAGGCCTCCACCGCCGCCGCCCGCACGCCAGCCGTCGTGGTAGCTCTAGCTCCATGGCTTAGGGTTCCTGGTGCCCACAGCCGCCGGCTGCTCCAGCCATGGCCGAGTAGGCGCCCTCTACCCACCTGAAGAGGAACTGCTGGCCTGAAATGAAGGAGAACGGACGTCAGCCCCCAGCAGAGCAAGCGCAGCCGGTGCTCTTCGCGGCGGTGGTCGCCCGTGCAGGAGCAGCGGCGGCGGTCTAGCGAGCGGGTTGGGCGGCGGCGGCCTGGAGTGCGGGTGGGCCGGGGCTTCTGCCGCCACCATCCTTTCTACACGCCAGTCTTCCGGCGTCGGGCTCCAGCAGCGGCAGGGCTGAGGAAGGATGGGATGAATACCCTCTTCAGCTTGCAAACCGACAGAGGGAAAACGCTCTTCTTGGACGCGTCGGGTAAAGTTGTTGCAATTATTTCAACAAGTTGCTTTCCGGATGAAATATCTTGTGTTAGTCGAGTCTACATTACTGTAGTTAATTCATCTGGACCACGAACACCTCCTCACAGATATCTGGCACCAACTAGTCAGCTTTTGAGTATGTTGGTTCAGACACTTGGCCATCACAATCACGTCTGGCCACAGACGAAATAATTCATAATTATTTTATTCCCTTTGCTCGCGATTGTAAATCGTTGTATAGCTTCTACCTAAGTTAGTTTATGGAAATAATAATACATAAACATCTACAACATCAAACAAGCGATACACCATGAAATATATTTTGATATTTCACTTATTTGATTTATGTTAATATATTTTTCTATAAATACCTTGAAAATAAGTCAGGTTTTACTTAGAATTACACTACAACGACATGAATTTGAAACTGAGATTACTAATCAAACTTTCCTTAGCTAAATAAATTGTTTTGTTCAACTGCAAACTAATTTATCGCTTTTTTTTTTGCGATAAACGCTGGCCATGTGACAACGCCATCAATTATTGGCCTATAGAGACCAAGAAGATATTTGTTCAGTTGGTTCAATGCACGTGTTGTTGGACTTTGACTAATTTATTAAGTGCTTGGCCAGCAAACATTAAGGCAAATAAAGTGTTCTGCTATATAGTATTGTTTTGTTAGTACATATTATTAATTGATTTCATTGACCATACCTATCAGTCCAGTTTAATTATATTAGTAGTATTGTGCAAATTTGCTTTCTTGTAGCCTATCTCCCCTTTATGATCCCATCCGTCCCCTTTATACACACCCACGGCGGAGGGGAACAGCAGGAAAACAATGGCGGACCTCGTGCTGGGGTTGGCCAAGTCGGCGGTGAAGGAGACGGCGAATCTAGCCAAGTCGGCTATTGAGGACGAGAAGAAGCTGCGGAAGAGCGTTCAGCGTGATCTGATCCTGATCTCGGACGAGTTCGAGATGATGCACTCTTTCCTCAACGTCTCAAAGGAGCATGTAGCAGACGACGATATGGCGACGACTGCCGTGAAGCAGGTTCGCGACATGGCCCTGGATGTGGAGGACTGCATCGACTCGATTCTCCACCTGGACAACAAATCGAGCTGGTGACGCCGCATCCTCCCGTCCTGGATACCTGCGTCGGCACCGGCCGTGGCCCTGGAGAATGCCGTTGCTGGTATGGAGCTACTCAAGGCTAGGGTGGAAGCCATGGGTCAGCGGAACCTGCGCTACAGCCGCATCGGTGACGGCAATTCTGGCTCTAATAAGTCTGCCGAGCAAAAGCTGCATCAGCCCGTCTACAACGCACTCCTCCCTCGCTCTGCCACAGCGAGGGAAGCCACGAAGGAGAGGATCTGGCCAGTGGAACTTGTCAATTTGATCAGCCGGAACGAGAAAGGTGTTGGTGGCGTCCTTCAAGTCATCTCAGTGTTGGGAACCGTAGGGATGATGTCCGTTGTCAAGAGGGCCTATGACGATCCAGAAACCCGCGGCAACTTCAGATGCCGTGCTTGGGTGAAGCTGGTGCATCCTTTCAATCCCCTGGATTTTATCAGGGGCTTGGTGGCCCAATTCTGCAGAAGCGGTAATAGTATCTCCCGAGATGAAGAAAGCAGCAGCACTATTGTAGTAGATTCTGTTGTGGAGATGACAACAGTGGCGACGCAAGGCGTGCTCATCGATGAATTCATGAAGCTAGTGAGCCACCACAAGTACCTAGTAGTCCTCCAAGGCGTGTCCACCATGGAGGACTGGGAGACTGTAAGGGTCTACCTGCCAGACAACAACAACGGCAGCTGCATCATCGTGAACACACACCAGTTCGAAGTTGCAAGCCTGTGCGTTGGACCACCACACCGAGTATTGGAGCTTGAAAAGCTCTCAGCTCATCATTCTGTCTATGTCCTCGTCAAGGAGGTACACTCGAATTACGATATATTAACTACTCCAGTATTTCATTCACGGACAGATATACTCGACATTCCCCCCCCCCCTTCTATTTTTGACACCAACATGGTCTGACAGTATTAATGCAAATATTTGATTATTGCACTCCTGGCTTGTGCTTCATAATAAATTATAATAATTACCCACAACTTAGTTTGTATGCCAATATGATTACGCTAATTACAGAATCTTTCATCATTTTTTTCATTTGTACACGAGTCAATGCGTTCAGGGGTTGAGAAATTAAAATAAGCTAAATTATAGGATCACTAGCTAGGAAAATCAACGGGAGGAGTACCAAACAAGTTTTTTCAGGTCAAGTTAATTGCAGGTAGTAATTAGAAGCAGGACAAAGGTTTTTATTCGCTATTACCTAAATCCCCCATAAACTTCTCAAATATAGGATAGTTTTTGACTTAGGGTAAACTAGAAAAATGATTATATTTATTTGGAATAGAGGGAGTAAGTTTGTACTTTTTAAATTCCTTGCATGCGTAGCTACTACTCCCTCTGTTTGAAATTGTAAATCGTTCTGGCTTTTCTAGACTTTTACTATGTATCTATCTAGATATAGTGTATATTTAGATGCGTAGCAAAAACTATGTACGTAGAAATGCTAAAACAACTTATAAATTGGAATTGAGGGAATAGTAAAAACAAACTAAGGAAGTAGTATGGTTTAGTATGTATATTTTTATACAGTAAACCAACCCCCACTCACTACACACTGCTCTTTTACTTCTTTTCATAGGATATGATTGGACAAGTTGAGCAGCAAACCATGGGCCCGGATACCGCACATGATGAATATGCACTTTTGGGCCCTCAGGCTGATTTTTGTTCTCGATTGTCTATGAGCGTGACAAGTACTGGTGTGCACTCTGTGTGGGAGATGTCTGGTGTTGGCAAATCATTCCTTGTCAAACACTATTACATTGGCCAGGAGGCTAAAATGAAAAATACTACCAGTCTTGGTGTCAGGCGCGGTTCTCTTCTCACGTACGGTTGGGTGAATGTGTCCCGCCCGTTCGATTTAACGGACTTGTCGTGGAGACTTCTTTTGGATCTGAATCCTGGATTTCTGCAAGACTGCCAGTTGTCAACGATGAAAGATCCAATCGAAGAATGCCGCCAGTATCTATATGTCAATGATTGCTTTATTGTTATCGACGGTCTGCAGACTAGAAAAGAATGGGACTTGATAAAAGGTGCCTTGGGACTTGAAACCACTACACGCCACGTGATCTTTGTCATCACCAACGAAGAAAGTGTTGCCAAATACTGTGCGACAGACATTGAGTCAGTGTACAATGTCAAAGGCCTAGGAGCCGATCACGCCTTTCAACTCTTGAAGCAGGTCAGTTTTCTCACAAGCTAATTAAGAAGCATTCCACTACTGTTATATATGCACAGTGTTTAGGTGATTTCACCCACCCCCTTCACTTATATACTGTATATCTTACATGATAAGCTTACAGACTCGATTCAATGTGCTTTTGTAGCCCAATTATTTGCACTGTCATTGTCACTGCTTGAGTTATTTTTTTTGTCTATGCATCATTATCAGTATGTTTAGTAGTTAGTAATTATGGAAGATCTACCTATAGGTAAATGTAAATAGTAATCATCGATTCCAATTTATGCACAACTTATTATACAAACCAAACTCAGTGACTATATTGGGGGGTGGGGGTGTCAATTTTCCCAGACTAATTTCTTACAGATTCTTATGTTGAATGGGACTCATGTATGTATCTTAGACTCATCGCCATGACGAACATACATGGACTGAGGAAGAAGAACTGCATATGTTGCACAAGTTTGGTGGGCTTCCAAAAGTTATATGTGCTGTAGCTATGCGCTACAAAAGTTTACTGTGGGATATACTCAGAAAAGATAACCTTGTGTCTTTGTTGGAGGCCGACACAAGACTAGAGGATCTGTTTTCCTGGTTGCTTGCCTACTTCCATTCCTGCCCAGATTTCCTCAAGCCCTGCATCTTCTACCTGTCAATCTTCCCTCTGAACCACGCCATCCGGCGGAGGCGTTTGGTGAGGCGGTGGATCGCCGAGGGATACTCCAGAGAAACTAAAGAATACACTGAAGAGGAGAGAGGGGAGATGTACTTCTCTACGCTCACCGATCTGAGCATGATCCAGGTTCCAGGAACAACAAGCACAACGTTACAAGAGGACAGCTCCAAGAAGATTCCCTTGTGCCAAGCCAACGGCTTCCTCCGTGAGTACATAATCTCACGGTCCATGGAAGAGAATCTTGTGTTTGCACTGGACGGGCATTGCCGCAGGAACCTGCGACGCACTGGACGGCACCTTGCCATAGACAAGAGTTGGGACAGAGACAGGAATGTGTTTGAGAGCGTCGACTTCTCGCTGCTGCGGTCTCTGACGGTGTTTGGTGAGTGGAAACCTTTCTTTGTCTCTGAGAAGATGAAGCTGCTCCGTGTGCTGGATCTAGAGGACGCGTCGTCAGGTGTAACAGATGGTGACGTTGCGCAGATGGTGAAGCTGCTGCCCCGCCTCAAGTTCCTCTCCCTGAGAAGGTGCAGACAGGTCACTAATCTGCCGGATTCCATTGGAGATCGCCTGAAGCAGCTACAGACTCTGGATATCAGGGAAACATCTGTAACAAAGCTGCCAAAGAGCATCATCAATCTGGACAAGCTGCAGTACATTCGTGCTGGCACGGTCACTGGACATCATTATCAAGCTACAGAAACAACAGAAGCAGCAGAGAACCTGCAAGCATGGTTTCCAATATTGGCCGAAATCTTCTGATATTTCCAATATATCCTCTTTATCCGTAGGTGCCGATAAGAAAATATCTATCTTTTTCGTACAAATTTTGTTTAAATTTATTTAAATTTACTTAAATTCAAATTAAATTTTATTTGAATTTGGTCCGATATTTCCGATATATCCTGTTTATCCTCTTTACCTTTGACCCCCGATAAATTTTAATTTCCGAAAATAAAAACCTTGGCTGCAAGCACAATCAGAATCAGCAGCGCCGGTGAAGATGAAGAGGCTATGTGCTACTCTTGAGTCCTGCTGCTTGTCCAAGTCGAGCAGACACCGCCGTCTTGATGACAATTGTGGCTCTTATTATCACAGTGGCGTGAAGGTGCCCCGAGGGATTTGGAAGCTTTTCGACTTGCACACGCTTGGTGTTGTCGATGTCGGAGCTACCGGAGGAGGGGATGCCATTGTAGAGGAGCTCAAGAAGCTTACCCAGTTGCACAAGCTCGGAGTTTGCTCCATTAACCGGAACAATATCCGCAGGTTCTTTTCAGCCATCTCAGGCCTTGCCCATCTGGAATCGTTGTCGATGGGGTTGCAGCTCGACCAGAGGCGGGCGCAGGATTTGGACCATGGGTATTCAAAATTGCATATGGCAAGAAAAAAAATTTGACAACCTAAATTATAGTTTTATAACACAAAATTAAGTGGAAGCATCATTGATTAATAAAATTGATCACAATTTGAACATGTGAAATTGTTCGGCTACTAATGATCAACATATCAAAGTTGCAACATGTGAAATAAATAGAGGATAAAACAGCAAAATGGTAACAAAGCTTACGACTTACAAGTTACAGGATAACTTTCCGATCCTTAATGCTTTGAAAATGAGCGATGATGTCCTTATTCTTAGCTTGCATGAAGAATTCCCTTTCAATCAACGTGACCAAGCAACCATTCAAATATTTCTGCCCCATCTTGCTTCTTCTCTTGTTCTTTATCAAATTCATTATAGAAAAGACCCTCTCAACACCAGCAGTTGCAACAGGGAGAACAAGCACCAATTTGAGAAGTTTATAAACAATTTCATACCGAGCAACCTTTCCTTGTTTAATTAGCATCATAGACAACTCTGCTAGACTTCTCAAATTTTTGAAGTTTTCATCATTTCTGACATCATTGATATAGTGGTGCAACTGAAAACGAAGCTGGTTCATTTCTTCAAATTCAAAGTCATGTGGATAGAACCCAGCAAGCTTAACCAAGTTTTCAACATTAAAAGCAGCAAATGAATTGGATGGATTGAATGATGACATGCATCTAAGTGGCTCTGTGTTTACCTCATCAAACCTATTATTAAGCTCTTGAACTTGCCTATCAATGACACCCAAAAACATATCAGCATGAAACCGGTGATAATTAATGGCACCTCTATAGAACTGCTTTGATCTTTGCATAGGAATATACTTCCCATTCATGTCAACCACTTTAATATTGTGCTTCTCACAAAAAGAAGTGACCTTGGTAAGGAATTCTTGCCATCCAGAATCTTGCCTCAAAACATCCAGTTCTACCTTTGTGAACTCCAGAAGATCCATTGCATTTACGATATCTTGCTCCCTCTTTTGCAAAGCATTGCACAAGTCATTTGTGTATCCAAATATTTCATTCATCAAGTGTAGCAAGAAAACAAACTCAAAGGACTTAAATACTGTGAGCATAGTTTGAGCTCCATTAGCCTCAGCCCCTTTACTTTCCTTCCCAATCCTAAAGAGAACTTTCTTGATTGAAGGATACAAGAACATAATATGCATTACAGTTCTGTAGTGAGATCCCCATCGTGTATCACCTGGCCTTGCTAAGCCCATCTCTTGATTCAATCCTTGCCCGGTTTCAATTTCACCCAATTTGAATGCTTCAATCATGTATTCAGCTTGAGCAACGCGAAGCATGCGGATCTTTTTACAAGACATCCCTAGAACATTCAACAAATATGAAAGTTGCCCAAAGAACCAATCACAATCAGTATTCTCCTTAGCAACTGCTACAAGTGTTAGTTGAAGTTGATGGGCGAAGCAATGAACATAATAAGCAGAAGGGGACTCATCCATAATTAGTTTCTTCAAACCATTAACATGACCCTTCATATTGCTAGCTCCATCATACCCTTGACCACGTACCTTGGATAGGGGCAATTGATATTTGATAAGCAAGGACTGAATTGCTTCTTTAAGAGTCAATGATGTAGTATCTTCAACTTGGACAAGACCTAGAAATCGCTCAACTAGTTCTCCTTTTTTATTGACAAAACGCAAACAAAGAGCCAATTGTTCCTGTAGGTATGCATCACTTGACTCATCAGCAAGAATTGCAAAACACTCATCACCAAGTTCGTCTATGATAAATTTGATTGTTTCATGAGCACAAGCATCAATGAGTTGTTTTTGGATCTTGTGATCTATCATCTGACAGTTTTGTGGTGCATTCTCTAGTACCACCAGATTAACCTCTTCAAAGTTTCCTGCCAGCCATGCTAAAAGTTCTCAAAAATTACCTTTGTTGAGTGAATCCTTTGTTTCATCATGACCACGAAAAGCCAAGCCTTGACGCAACAGAAATCTTATGCACTTAAGTGACCATGTCAAGCGAGCTAGATACTTAGCCTTGAACTGTGCAGTGTTTGATGCAACGGATTCATGGATTGATGCCTTAGGTCTCATGAACAATCTATATTTCTCTTCAGCTTCACTATGAGCACTATCGATAGCACCAACATGCCTATGAATTCTCCTTTTCATATTCCAATTTCTAAACCCTTCATTAACAAAAGCATCTCCACCAGGGAATTTGCAGCTATCTTTGAACAAATAGCAAACAAAGCAAAATGCAGCATCCTTGTCCACACTATACTCAATCCACTTGAATTCAGTAAACCACTTATGTTGGAAGCGGCGCATACCTCCACAATCATGTTGTGGAAAAGAATCCCTCTTCATCTTTGGTTGACATGGCCCCAATGCAATGTATGCCCTTCGAACTGAATCTTGATCATTCACATCATAGCTTGAGATAGGAACCCTCAATCCAGGATCATGCTCAATTTGATACATGTCAGCATTGTCTTCATCACTGCAATCTGATTCATTTAGGGATATAACTTCATCATCTTCTATTACTGTAGGCTCAGCCTCAACTCTCACTGCTTCTGGTTCTGGTGAAATTATGCTTGGACCACTGCCATCAGTCTGCCCTTCAAAAACAACCAGTTGCATACAACTCTGATTAGTAGATGGAATACCTCCCTCTACCTCTTGCTCAACCTTATCTTGTGAATGCTTCTTTGCAGCAGCCCGTTGCAAGAAACTCCTCAGATCTGTGGTATTACTCTTTTTTCTCTTCATACTTGAGACCTATAATTAAATCAAGAGGCTAGACTAAGTAATTTGGGGACAAATTGCTATCCTTAAGAGGCTAAGACCCTAACAAGTAACAAATTGAAGAGGTTAATCCATATACCATACTAAATTTTTTTCAAATTCTACACCTAAATCGAAATCATACTTCCACATTAAATAAATCAACAGTTCAAGTTTTTTTACAGATGTACTGATCAAAGGCTTGCTAACCCATTTAAGTTGCTGAGTTGAACATTATAAACAAAATTCATCAAACCATACTATCCCAAATTAGAATAAAAAATCATATAATCCGAGATTAACTTCACATGTCTGCTTTAACCGAGAACATTGGGATCGGAGTAGGAGCTCTTAACACAAACCTCAACCTGCGCCGCTGCTGGCCGCTGCGCCGCCTGCACCCCCTCCGAGACACCGAGTAGGAGCTCCGGCGCTCTGCCCTCCCCGCCGTCGAGCTGCGCCCTCCCCGCCGGCCGCCGCGGATGTGGATGTCGATTGGATCGGATCGGATGTGTGGGTGGCTGCCGGCTGCGTGCTGTGCCTATGCCGTGGCCGTGCGCGTGTGTGGCCTAGCCACTGGGTGCTGGCGAGTTGGGTTGTGGCCTGTGGGAGCCTGGGAGGCCGAGTGGGCCACTGGGCCGAGTGGGCCGCTGGGGACTGCGAGTGGCGAGCCTGTGAGAGTGGGAGGCCGACTGGCTGCGTAGTGCGTGCCTGCATGCTGTGCGTGGCTTCTTTAATTTCATTTTTGTTTTTTCATACATATGCCTAGAATACACTATATATATATGAACTTTTTTTTGCAAAAATAATGGGTATTCAACTGAATACCATTGAATACAAGTGGGCCCGCCTCTGAGCTCGACGAGGATGACGATGAAGATGAAGCTGGCTGGTTAGATGACATCTCCTCGCTTCCAGTGAAGCTACGGAGCCTTAAGTTGTACGGGCTCGTACGTAAGATTCCAGTATGGACCAAAGAGCTTAAAGAACTCAGAAAGTTGAGTCTACAGATGACAATGTTACCGCAAGAGGGCATCGATGACCTCCCTTGCAGCTTAGACCACCTACAGAGCATTCGCCTTTTTTTGTCAGAGTTACATGATGGTGAGCTCCATTTCGGTAGTCGACAGATTTTCTTGGGCCTCCTCGATATTTCTTTCAGCCCCAGGGTACAGGCTAAGATAACGTTTCACGACAACTGTTATCTTAAGGTGCTGAGGATTCGCTGCTGCGGCGTATCATCACTGCAGTTCTCTGGCCTACAGAGTTTGAGAGCTCTAGAGGAAGTCTGGCTTAGGAGTCCGTATAATGACGGCCTCAAGCAACACTTGGATCAGGAGCTTGACTGTCGTCCGGAAGCTGTGTTGAGGCCGGACAAACCAGGTTCGTGGATCCCATGGCTGCTGACCAGCTCGTGATGCTCATACTCGCAGGTGCCCCTTTTTCTTTTTCTTTTTTGTATACAAAGGCTGCTACTAGCTCCTGTTCGTGAGCATCAACCATATACAGTCGTCCTTATTGAGCTCTGTAATAAAATAAATACATATTCTTACAAGAGTGTTTTTCCTCTGTCTCTCATACGGCGACGAAAAATATAGGTCATGATTTTAGTAAACAAAGGGACTTGCTATATCCCAGTCCACTGAAATGTACACCTTTTTTCAGTCGACGTCCACAGCCCTTGGATCTGCATCCAATGGCTCGTCTCTGTTGTTTTTCTTCTTCATGCAAGGAAAACGGGTCCGTGAATAAACCCGAAAATCAACCCAGGCAACTACCGGGCCCGCCAAGCCTTAACGGGCACATGATCCGATACCCGCAATGGAGATGTGCAGCTCATTTGGCCCAAAATGAAACAATCGGCCCAATAAACATACATACAAGCATACACTGAATATTCTTGGGCCATACCACAAATCAAAATTAATATAGTACCATTTCTATTATACTGCGGCAAAATGCACAACGAATAGAATATTCAAAATTACAAAACAAGAATATGAAAATTGCACTTTCCAAATAGTGCAAATACTATGTGTTGTTACTGCAATTTTACTATATATGTATATAAGTAAAAGTATTGGTATATTTATACAAAATCCAGCTCATAAACGAGGAGTCTGCTCATAGTACAATTAAAGTGTACTATTTTCTATGCAATTATCTACAGTTGACTAAAAAGTATCACAGGATGCAAATGCATGTTGGGAGGCAAAATCTTTGATATCCTTGAACAAGTCTGTAGCCATACAAGCAGTTAGTAGTCATTAGTCAAAAACATGTACACATGTACTGGTCAATAAATAGAAGCAACAGCTAAAGCCTAGTAAAGATGAAATGAGCATACAAAGAGGCTAAATTTCCAGTTCAGCTCGGCATACTTGACCAATGAACCAATTAAGCAAAGCCATCATTCAATTAATAAGTCAATTTAGATTTTCCTATTCTAGATTCCCACAATGTGTGAACTAGTTTGATAGATCAGATAGCATCACACCAGTTTTGGTAGTACAATTCAGTTCATGTGATGAGTGGCCAAAACGAGCACTTTGGTTAACAAGTAAATAGCACTGATGCCTAGAGAGCACTATCAGAACCAACGGCATTCTTCTCGCCAAGGCAAAAAAGAATTTAACTGCATGGAACTCAACACAAATAAAACAAGATGCAACCAGATTACCAGAATATGCATGTCAAAGTCAGAGCTCCCCCTGAACTGCAAGTCTGCAACCTGCCCAGTTCAGAGTTCAACCCTGGATGTACAAAATGCCATCAGTCCAGCTCCAGCATTATGGGGCTGTTTGGATGCCGCCCTCGCCTGGACGTGCCTGCCAGGCAACTAATCTCAGCCCCAGGCGATCAAAATCGGACGCCTGGGAACGCTGCCTAGCGCCGGAGCTGCCTGGGAGGCAGCATCCAAACAGCCCGTATCTGCATAGGATCATTTTCTTCTCTGACTCCACTAGTCCGAGCTAGTGAGCTAATGCCACTGCGAGGAAGAGTGTGCAGCCGGCAGCCCCTGCAGGATCAGATTCCATATAAGACTAAGAATGAACTAGCATCATGCTAATGTGGGATGGTACATGATAGGACTCCTAAATTTCTTGTTTGGTCTGAGGAATTGGATGTGTTGATCCATCACTACTTCTTCCTCGTAAGCACTTATAGTATAAACATGAAGGACCGAGTCATCCCACATAAATTCTCATGATGGATCATTTCATCTAGGCCAACTCCTCAAACCAAACACAACATTAGAGAATACAGAGTACACAAGAGTTTGTGAGAATGTCAGTAAAAACATTTTTGATATGAATAGTCTAGCAATAAAATGATTACCCCATATTTTTGCATTCCAAGGAGAAGTGTGCTTGAGCCAGTGATGTGAACCCCCACCCACAAAGGTATGTGGAACAAGAGGTTGAAAGCAAAAGCTGTTCCAATAACTGAAAAATGGTAACATTTGTAATAAGCAAACGGTCAAATGAATGTGAAAACCAATTGAGTTCTATATATTGGCAAAAACAATGGTTGATTAATTTTCATTCCTTAGTTTTACAGGAATAAACAGTGGACCAAATGAATTGGAAATTAGCAAGAAGAACAAATCAGTCAGTTTAGCTTTGGCATTAAGAATTAGTCTACAACAACACTGAATCCTCTTTTATTGTATCCATATATGTTCATTAATATAATACACGATCAGCCAAAAATCAAACATAGCAGTTTAACAATATTTTTTTATGCAAGATTATCAAGAAACGATCTTAACCTTCTGGGATATCTGCAGCAATCACAGCTAACTCTGCTAGCAGCCATAGGCAGATTCTCACCCATGCTGGATATTCCGTCTTACATAGCTCGGCAAGATGCCGCCAGCCATCAATTCCAATTGACGTGAGAGAGTGTACTCCTAAGCATAATATATACTAGTTCTCTATAAAATACCTGTCACTACTCCAAGATTAGCAGATAGTGACTGAATAATTAACGCGAAGATGAGGCCAATCAAGGTCACCCAGAGGAGCTATAAATGAGCAAATTAAAAAAATGACAAAAAGGAGCAAAGTAGTTAGTTTTGGTTTGCATTATGCAAGAAATGTAGCTTGCAAGGGTGAATATGGCGTGATTTAACAAAGATCTGAAATTGTACCTCATATCTGTGATCTGCACCAGCTTGCAAATCTGTTCCCACTATTCAAATTTAACAAGCATCAATACTGTGCGATATAGAGAACAGAGATAGAGGAAGAAATGGTGCACAACGTACAGTTTCCGGGATCAAGGTAGGCCAAACAGACCATAAATCCTGAGCCAACGTGGTACAAGAACCTTTTCCATGCTGTGCCCTGTGTTACACAGCACCATGAAATTAGCAAGTATATTTATCCCCCAGTAATCAAAAGCATGAGGCACACAAAAGGACAAAGGGTAGTACATTTTTTATCTAACCCATAGGAGAGCTATGTATCATTTCACTAGAAGAACAAAAGAAGAACAGAACACACACAAAAATGAAATGTTTAAGATTATCAACGCCTCTGTTGTCATACGAAGATCATGTAACCAGTGCAGAAAGAATACAAATTGAGATTTTGTTCTTTTTAGTTTTGCAACGCAAGGAAGTCGAGTCGAGTCACACCAAAGAGGCTAGAACTTTGACTGAAACAGGAACAGTTAAACAGGAATAGATATTTGTATAACAAACATGATAAAAAAACATTATGTGGTACTATTCATCTCTCCTTGAAATGCAAGTTACTATACCTGATTAAATTTAGTGAGTTGATCCACGGCGTCATTACCAACCAATGCTTCTCCAACAAATAAAAACCAGGTCCGAGCTATCGAGATTGATTAGCTTGGAGAGCACTCTCATGAGTGGCTCATTGTCCTGACAGATTCAATCAGACAGAGACTTCACGTAAACTTCAAAATATAAAGACTATATCCTCCTGTATAGAGACAAAAAGAAGTTACCCTCTAGTACAGAGACCAAATCCTAGCATGATGAATAAGAATCCTGAAAGGAGAGCAACACTTCCAAGTTGATCCTGCAGAGCAAGGAATATGGTCTTAAAAAATTACAAAACACAAATATGAAAATTGCAATGTTCGATACTTGCAATTTACATTATTGGTGACTACAATTTCACAAGCCAAACTGTCAGACAACAAATACAGAGGACTAGCTCTACTAAGGTAATAACATTCAAATATCGTAGCCGCTTAAATGAGTTACTAAAACTGTGCAAGCTGATTCATCATAATAATGAAATGTCTTGAAAGCTCAATGCAAGGACAAGTTATGGATGAACTTATATTTGTGATGGGAGGAAATATTAAAATCCACCACAATAGCAAAGCCAGCTTCAATAAACAAGTGTATTCAGGTTTTCATTCTTACTGCAAAGATAATCAACATGCTGAAATGCCAGAACGCTGACCCAGAGCTCACTTAACCAGCTTGGTGGCACATAAATCAGATCTAAATTTTGACAAATCACATAATTTCAACGGATACAGGGATGATAGCTTTTGGCAATAATAAATAACATAATAAAGACACAATTTTTATTCTACGCAAGCACAAGCACAAATACAATATTACAAGAGATAAATTTTTTTCTATGGAAGGACAATTTACAAAAAAAAATTTCCATAACCAAGACAAATCACAGATTACAAGAGAAAAGAATTTTCTATGGAAGGACAATTTACAAAATCTTTTCTCAATACTAGCACAATCACATATTACAAAAGACAATTATTTTCTATAGAAGGACAATTTACAAAAGTTTTTCCCAAAACCAGCACAATCACAGATTACAAGAGATAGGAGGCCGGAGAAGCGGGCAAGTTGAAGGATCAGTTGAGAGAATAATTAGACGCTAAGAACAAGAACTGGAAGTAAACATGGTGCGACACTATATGCCAGAGAAGCGTCTGGAAGGAATGACAAGGTCAAAACAACAACGAAATAATGTAGCAAATTACAAAAATTAACGTAATTGTTAACAGGACCATAGGAAGAGATAGTTAACAGTCAATGTGACTCAAAATGGACAAAACAATATTACCTAAAGCCACTGGAATTTGGATACATAACTAGACAGAAAAAAATTCAAATCCACTCAAGATCAGCAAAAGATAAAAAAAAAGCTCCTCAAGAGGAGAGCCTCTAATAATCCGGATAAGACACATGACTAAAAAGCCATAAATAGGTGCTTTTTTTTCTAATGCAGCACAAGTAAGTGTAGTTGTCGATCTAGCAATGCTCAGGACTATAAGAAACCATATTGTCACATGCCATCTAGCGATGCTCGAAAAAGAAAGTATATAATACTACGACTACAAAATACTGATACCTGTTTAGAAAAGAACAAGTGAAGCTCTGCATTCATTCAGTTTAAAAAAG